CATACATACATGTTTTCTTATAATCTTTCAGCCACACTGGAGGGTAGATATATTATAATTACCATTTTAGAGATGAGGAAACTTGAGCTCAGGAGCTCCCTTTCCAGTCTAGGTTGTTCTGTTCCAGCATTTCAGAGAACTAGCTCTCCTTTATGCTACCCACCCTCTTCCTCTGTCTCCTTCCCTCCCTTCCCCTCCCTCCCCCTGCCTCATTCATATAATCAACATACAACGGCATGGAATAGTGATGGTGAAATAATTAAAAGACACCGTTAAAAATGAAAGGAATTCAATAGCCCATTTAAGTGACTTTCAGTATGTATCATGTTGATGAGATTCCCCAGGGTTTCTCTCTCTCTCTCTTTCCTCTGTCTCTCTTCCCCTTTCTCATCACTGCTGGCTTTGTCTTCAGGAGTAGCCACATTGCTTACCCATCACCCGCGGGGGCATTGTATAATGCCTATCCCACAGGGCATTAAATCAATTAACCATGATGCCGGGAATCTCAGGGTATTGACTGAAGATAAGCAGGGGCATTTTGGATACAGAACACAGAGAGGCCAATCTAGCAGACTTTTACAAACAGCTCTGACTTTTCATTTCCAGCCTCCCGTTATATCCAGGTCAGAATGTATCTTTTTGCAGGCCCCTACCAGCACACAGATTGTTCTCAGCTCTTGCTCCTACACCTGGATCCTCCAGTAAAGATTGTCATCTCTTTTCTAGGATAGTGAAAAATCAAAAAAAAGACTCTGAACTCACGGTGTTGTTTCATGGGGATCAGACTTCCGATGGTAAGAATATAAGAATATTTGCCCCTACTACCACCCCAGTCACCCACAACTAAAAGTCTGCCGTCAAATAAATTTATTTGCCCTCCACTGTAAAGGGACTAATCTTTCTTCCAATGCAAATGTGCCAGAGATGAAGGATATCACAAGCTGAGAATATCAGGTCCAGGCAAGCCAGTTGGTTTTAACTGAGATTTGTTCTAAGAGGAGGGAACAGGGAAGGAGTAGGGGAGGGGGCACAGTTTGCTGCTGCTGAAAATGGGGAGCTGCCTGGCAGAGGCTCTGCCCTGCCTTCCAGGTGGAAAGGCAGAAGCTCTCCAGCCAGACCACACACTTCCCAGTTACCCACCGTAGGCTCTGTGTCCAGAGTTGTCTTGAAGTCGTGTTTTTTGTTTGCTTTTTAAAAGATCACATCAGACTTAGAAAAAGAAAGGATCAGTTCATTTGCAGGACTAACACCGAAGCTCTGAACAATAGGTAATTGTACCTTGGGGTGTTGGAATGGTTACACAGTCACTGTTACGGAGCAGGAGGTTTTGGTAGTGGATGGCGTGTAGATTTTGGAGTCGGTCTTAGTCTATTTGGGTTGCTGTGACCAAATGCTACAGACTGGGTGGCTTACAAACACTTATTTCTCACAGTTCTGGAGCCTGCAAGTCTGAGATCAGGGTGCCGGCAAGATCGGGTGAGAGCCTCTTCCTGGCTCAGAGTTGGTACAGTTTCACATGGTGGAAAGTGCAAGGGAGTTCTGCGGAGTCTTTTATATAAGAGCACGAATTCCATTCATGAGGGCTCCATCCTCCAAACCTAGTAAAGGCTCCACCTACTAATACCGTCACTATTGGGGGTTAGGATTTCAATACATGAATTTTAGGGGGACACAAACATTCAGGCCAGCGCAGATAAAATCAAGTGCTGTGATTTACAGCTAACACTGAACCCGTGACTTAACCTGGGCAAGCTTCGGTTTTTCCATCTGTAAAATGGGACTGATACTAGAACCTCACCTGTATACATTTAAACAAGATTATTAATGTGTAAGTAGCAGATGTCGTGACTGAACAGATGTTGGTTTTTCTGTTTTCATTAAACTATTGGGTCCAGAAGGGAAGAGTTTAGGAAAGTTGGAAATAAAAAATCACAATTGCCCTATTGTGCCATGTGCTGCATTCTGACTGAGCTGTGATCTCTTGAAACTAGTTACCGCAAAGCACCTTCACTTTCCTTTGAAATAGGATTTCAGATCTCAATTTAAAGGGGATTTTTTTATGCAAATATATCCTATGTACAGCATCTTCTGCCCTCTACTGGCTTCTTCAAGAAATTCAAGTAGGTGTATAAGCTAAATACAGCATTTTTTTTTTTTTTTTTTTTTTATACTTTTAGTGGACATCCACCATTTTCTATTTCTCCATTTCTGGATGAGAAAAATATATCCATAATATATTATAGGAAGACAGGAGTTATCGGAAATCTTTGATTTTTTTTCCCAACAATTTGTTTTTGAAATGGAGATTTCATTTTGCTATTTTATTCAATCCTATGCTTCCAGGGCCGGTTCTGCATATCGTAACTACTAAATAAATAATTAAACTGTGCCAAAAATGATTGCAGAGACTAAAATCTGAGATCATTATAATTCTTGAGATAATTAATCAGATGTTTAAAATAGAACCAGCATGTGAGAACCTTTGATTATAGAAAACGCCTGGGGCCAAAATCCCACTTCTATTAGAGATTATATTGGATTTTAACTTATTTTGCCCCAGCCTTCAAAAAATAAATAAAAGCATAATTTTTAAAGGTAGGGCAATTCAGGCCGACTGATGGCCCTCTGTTGAGAGTTTCACATGTGGCGTGGATCAAGCATTATTTGCTGGGCCTTTGAATGACAGTGTTTGTAGTTATCTGCACTATTTCACATCCAGCCAGAGATGTCATGGCATAGCAAAAGATTTCCTATTAGAATACGACACCAGAACAGAAGTCTGTGTTGGTAAATAGAAGAGAGTCAGAGGACAGCTTGCTGTGATGGGGAAGGTCTCCAACAGCAGAGATCCACTTGTTCCAAGATCTATTGCTAAGGAAGCATCTCAGGGCTTCCTGTGGCAGGAAAGGATTCGCTGAACAGAACAAAAGCAACATTGGAGGGCTAGCCCCGTTGGCATGAAGAGAAAAGAGGAACAAGTAACTGAAGATGAAAACAGCAAAGCATTTGTGATGCCAAATGCAGCTTTCCTTTGATGTCTTTAGACTGTGTAATTCAGGCGTCACCAAAGTTGAAGAAGTCATAATCCAGACGATCATTTTCCAACCAATCCTGAGTTGCTAATGTCTAGAATTTATATCGTCTCTAGATAACCCCCCCATAAAGAACTTAAAGCTTTTACAGCAAGAAACCTTGCTTAGTCATTAAAACATACCACTATTCAGAAGGATAAGCAGGTGGAAGTAACCTGTATAGTTTGGACAAAGGAGAATCATGGGAGCATTTCCTTTACCATATTTTAAAACACGGTAAAAAGATACAATGCTGGACACCTGGGTGGCTCAGTCAGTTAAGTGTCTGCCTTCAGCTCAGGTCATGACCCCAGGGTCCTGGGATTGAGTCCCCATATCAGGCTCCTTGCTCAGCGGGGAGTCTGCTACTCCCTCTGCCTGCTGCTCCCCCTGCTTGTGCTCTCTCTGACAAATAAATAAAATCTTTTTTTTTAAAAAAAAAAAGATACAGTGCTTAAAATTGTATCAAGTCCAGAGGCTATAGACAGAATAACGGAATTATTATAGGACCAAGAGGCATATGCTAGCCTTGACATATATGATATACATCCAGGAAATAGAAGCATTTTTCAATGGCTGTGATTGAGGTAACTGCTTAAATATCTGGGAGAAAGTATTAGAGCTTCAAATAATATTACATACCAAAATATGTTCCAGGAAGATTACCAGCATTAACTGTATTTAGAAAATGGATAATGAAAGAACTAAATGTATATTGCCGCATGTATCTGATGGCATATTTGCCCTTAAGATGGCATTTTTACTGAGAATTTATTGACAAAGGAATATAGTTGTGTCACTTAGAGTTTTTAGTTACCCAAAACAGAAACCTCTTTAAGTACAAAGGGAATTTACTAAAGGATATCAGCTCATAGGGATTTTGAGGATAGTCAGATAATTATGACTGGAGGTCATGCAACTAAGAAAAGTGTGTGATCCTTGCTGTGTCATTGGTGCAGGCACAGCCCCACGATTTCTAAATGTGACACCAAAAAGTTTTACCTTCAATTCTGAGGCTGGGTCCTACCGCTGAGTCACTACCACTGCTGTTTCTGAAAGCTCCATCCTCTTGGCTGTATGTGCCGAGAGATGGCTTCTACGTGGAGTCTCCTTCCTCATGTCACCCTCTTCCAGATGAAAGACCCAAGCATCCGATGAAGCCTGGATCACCCAGGCTACTTCCTAACTCCTAAGGAGGCTGGAAAATTGAGTGGGCATCTGTGTGTGCCTGGTGGAGGGATTGCTACAGCTGCAGTTAAGATGCTCAGAGGATGCTGGATGTCAATAGACATCCCTACATGCTCATGGTATAAATAAGTAAAGTGTATAAACACTTTATACATGATCCAAACTCCCTTTTTGCAAAACAGATTATATATGCATGCAGAGAAAGAAAGAAGACTCTGAAGAATAAAACTGAAAACAATAATATTGGATCCAGGAGAGGCTGGTGGGTAGAGTTTGGCTTATTTTTTATATCACGTTCATACATCTGTGTTTTTTAAATTCTCCACCGTATGTATATATTAATTTTATCCAAAAATAAGAGAAATAAGTAGAACTTGATGCTCTCACAGCCAAGGTAACAAAATGCCTCGTTTAGAATTAAAAGGAACAGTGGCAAACTTGTTTTTCTTTTTTTTTTAAATTTTTTATTGTTATGTTAATCACCATACATTACATCATTAGTTTTGGATGTAGTGTTACATGCTTCATTGTTTGTGCATAACACCCGGTGCTGCACGCAGAACGTGCCCTCTTTAATAGGAACAGTGGCAAATTTAAAACTCAAGGCCCTCTTTTTGCATTAGAAACCTGAGGACAAGTGAGGACAAAGAGGCTTATCCAGGGGCAGACATGCAGAAGATGGGGAAGCCAGGGCCAGAAACCCGTATTTACTGTCGTTTTTTCTTTTGAACATTTAATCATCAGGGGAAAGCACAGATGCAGCCCCCCACCACCAAGAATTAGGCAGTTGAGTTTCCCACTTTTGGGGAAATTGCAGGGGTCAGCACATCCAGACTGCAACGGATAAGCCTCCTCCTGGGAAAACCACCTTCTTGATCATGGTATCTCCCTGTGCTGTGGCACAGAACCGCATCTGTGAACACTCCTCTCTCCTCTTTCTCCATATTTACTGTATTTTAAGACCTCTGATTTTTCTATTTCATCTTGGGTATTTGTGTTTAATTTGTGACAATTGGACAACATGATACAGGTGATTTGTTTTATACTTTATGGCCAGTAAATGTGTAATCCTGATTACATGAGACTTTCCAGTTATTCGGGGTTTTATCATTGGATGGAAAAGGGAATGTGGTATCCACTAACCCAGTCTCTCTCTCTCTCTCTCTCTCTCAGTTCCCCCTTTGATTCAGTTTTCGTAGTAGTCTCACAGCACTAATGCTCCTTTGAAAAGCCCTTTGAGATATTTTTATGAAAGAAACGAGCTTGGAATTGCTCCAAATCAGGATGCTTACTTGCTTAGAAAGATGAGATTAATTTACTGTGAGAATTGCATAGAAAGAACATCTCTTTTGAGTTGCAAAACATATCAGAATTACCATATCTTGGAAAGAGGAATCTTTTCTTAAAGGACGATGTTTGGGGACTAAAGAGAGATGAACAATGTAGTCACCCTGTTCTGTGTGACAGTGGGCTTCCTAATGGCCGGGGCCATTGTCACTTCCTAGTCCAGCACAAGCCCAATGTTGAAACTATAACATGGGGGCTCAAGGAAAGCTGATTCAATGAAGACATAGATGTGTCTTTATATTTCATCTTTATAGTAATCATGACCTCTTACCTAATGTCTGCTATTTGCCAGGCATTGTGTCAGGTACTTTACATATCTTATTTCTGTTCTGAATGCTTTGGGGAGGACAACTTAGAGACTGACTCTAAGCTTACAGTGCTTCTGTTCAGTTCACATTGATTCTCCCCCTGGAAACCCTGTCTCCAACATGATCTACACAATCCCCTTAATAGTCGCTTTTGTAATACATGAGCCTATCCTCTGGTCACTGTAAATTGGGCCAGGATGGACATCTGACTGAAACCAGGACATTTAGATCCTCTCTCCCATGAATTTGCAAATGAAGTTAAGACTCAGAGACTTTTACTCTGGAGGTGGTTGGAAGAGTAATATGCAAACTCCAGAACTGTGATTCTCTAGGAGAAGAGAATGGGGTATAAAGCAGGTGCAGAGAAGGAGGAAGAGATCAAAGATAGAGTCTTGACATATATCCACAGTACCTGTTTTTACTGAAAATCTAGCTTTAAATCCCTGAATTCTAAAGCTTTCCTCTCTTTGCTTAAAGTAAGTAGAATTGGTTTCTGAAATTTAGAATCTAGGATCTTGGCTATTACAGGGTATAAATAAATTATATATACATGCATACCTACATTCATAGAAACATGTTATCTCAGCCTCACGGCATATTCCAGAGCAGGTATTATCATTACCATCTTACAGATGAGGATACAGGCTCAGAGGGTGGAAGCAGTCTTCCCAAACAATCTACTTAGAATAGTTAGAGCTGGTATTTTATCTGAGGGTGTGATCTTACTAGTCTGTATATCATGCCCCATGCAGATAGATTCATTCTTTTAGCATGCATTTGTGGAGATCCTTTTAAGTCCCAGGCCCTATGTTTCAGTGATTCCACCAGGGTTGCCAAGTAGTTGTAGATATTTACATGGTATTCCATCCATATGTATCCACATAGACTGCCAAAGACCAGCTGCTCAGCTCAAGGTTAAGGAATAGTCTTTGAGACTCATTATCCATACACTCTGCTTTCAGTAAAGATAAAATTAAGGACACCTCTGTCAAAAGACAGAGGAGGTGCCATAGGCTTTTGGTATCCCTAAAACCTTTCAGTGTTGAGTACTTACTGAGCTACTGTGTATGTTTTAACTGGATCAGATGCCGCCTGGTGTGATTTTGTCCCTGGCCTTCAGACAGAATGTGGCAGGGATTGTCAGTGGACTGGTAATGAACACCTGCTTTGAGAGTTGTTATTGTTGTTTTAATGGTGCCCTGAAGAAGATTCCATGATGTGATGGTCCAATAATATCTCAAACTTATTAAACACAGAGAAGTCCTATAACTTTCCCAAGGTCACAGAACTAGTTGGTTGCAGAGATGGAGCTTGCCGGTTAAGAATACACAGCCAACAGAAATCATTTCAAGTGACTTGCATTATTTTTCTTTTTATTCCTCCAAATAACAACACATGTTGATTAGATTCATGTCAGACCCATTATGCATTCTACCCTCACAATCTGTCTTTCTCTGAATTAATGAAACGTAAAGTGGGAAAATTATAGGCTTTATAGTTAGAATCTGTAGTGCTTAGGGTACAGTATAAAAGTCCATTATTAATTTAATATATTCTGGCTTATTATAAAATTCTACCTTTTTGTATTAAAATCTAAAATTTCTCTAAATACTGAGAACTAAAAAAAAATCATTAATGCCATTCTCAGATGCCATTATATTCTTAAAAAATGACATGAATCATACATCATAGCACCTTAGTTTTTATAAAATATATGCCTTCTATATATGGAAACATATAAAATAGACAAAATATAGATGATATGGTTGATACCTCTGGAAGTGGAAATTATTCAGGTTTGTTAATGCCCAAGAGAGCTTCTAGACATTAACTTTAATAATAATAATAATGATGATGATAATGGTAATAATTAGAACAGCAGTAACAGCTAACACTTATGAATATTTACTGTAACCCGGGCAATGTTCTGAGTGCTTTACATCTGTCAGTTCTATCTGCACAACCACCCATGAAGTGAGGGCTATTAGGTATCCCATTTTACAGATGAGGAAAATGAGGCCGAGATTACCATTTCATTTGGTCCTGGCACTTCTGAGCTACTTTCTAGGTAGGGGAGAGGTCTGTCCCATTCTTATTCTTAAAATTCAGCCCACATATATGCAACACCTAAACGGTTAAGAAGTTTCTCGTTATCTGGCTGCAACTCTATGTGGCTCTGATTGTTTTCTCCCTGTTTTCCAAGTGAGCTCCTATTGAAACATCAAGGCTCATAAAAATACAACCCTTTTTAGAGTTTCTTCTTCCAAGAAATTTTCATTGTTTCTTCATCCATGTTCCCTTGACCTTTTTTTTTTCCCCATAATCTGCCACTCTACTTTGGAACATCATTGACTTCCTAACCAATCCGAAGGACAATTTTTATTTATTAAGTTATTAATTCCGTTGTGATACTTGACACTCTTAATGATTAAGAGTCTTAATGACTCCTAAAATTCTTGAAACTTTTCCTCCTTGGACTTTCGAAGCACCGTCCTCCACAGCTCTTCCTCCTGGTTTTCTGATCATTCCAGCTCAGTCTTCATTGAGTTCCCCTTTTTCTCTGTTTGCTCATTAGATGATGGAAGCCCATGGCCTACATCCTAAAACAAGATCCACTATCCAGAATGGCATTTGGCATAACAAAGGATCTCAATAAATGTTAGTGGGATAATTTTTCCTTATGAAATTTAACACATGCCTGTGGTTTCAACTATGACTCATGAACCAGCAAACATGAAAAACAGAGCTCTTAAGCCTAGAAGTTTCTGATCCACCTCTAATGTCAGGCTTACGGTTATTGTACTCTATTCTCTGTTTCATTCTTTCTTATCTGGATGATCTATTCTTTTACTGACTCTTTCTTACACACACACACACACACACAATGAGGCCATTGGGATGTTGGGCATTGGGTTAGATGCTGTGTCTGTGGTGCTGCCTTCCTGACACTTACCTTGGTGAAGGCACCAGCTCTTTATACCTTTGCTATGCCTTTTTTCCTTTGCCCTCCTTTTCATTTTTCACATTCAAGCTGGAGTAATCTTTGGAAAATATCTAACTGTCACTATTTAAAATCCTTCAATGGCTCCACATTGAAGATACAACAAAGTTCCAACAGCTTTGTTAGCTCACAAGGTCCTGGATCATTTGACCCCAGCCTACATACCTACTCCCAATTCCTCCATTCTCCCACTGTGTCCTATATTTTCCAGACATAGCAAGGTCTTTGGTATTCCTTAATCATGCAATGGTTTTGTTCATTTAGGTGTCTTTATACATATCATCTCATTGGGAGTTGGTGGGCGAATAAAGGGATAAAAAATAACACTCCTCTTACCTGCCTGGGTTCAGATTTAATTTAGGGATAAACACAGAGTAAGATAAATAGAGAGTAAAATGTTACCTTCAACATGACAATGTTTATATTAGAGTTGCGGTTTATACTGTTAGGCAAGCAGACCCCTCTAAATCCTAAAATAAATACCCTTATACCATCTTCCAATCAAGGACAGCACAGGCAAATTTACCTTATGGGCTTACCATATGGGCAGAGGGTCTTTCCCGCTATGCTGATTGTATGGTTCAGATAGAGAACAGCAGCTGCCTGAGGGCAGGCCAATTCTCAAATGAAATGAGAGTGTGCACAGCCCAGTTCTCCTCCCAAATCACCATCATTTAGCAGCTCTTCCCCTCCTGTGGCAGAGTTAGTGAAACTGCGGAGCTCCTCCAAATATTCTTCACAGCCACAACTCTAAATATTTTTAAGTAAATATGAATCTATGTCAAATATAAGTTGAAGTCATCAGGACATTTTCTATTTTATTTAATTTAATTTTATTTTATTATTTTTTAAGTAGGCTCCATGCCCAGAGTGGAGCCCAACCTGGGGCTTGAACTCACAACCCTGAGATCAAGACCTGAGCTGAGATCAAGTGTCAGAAGAAGCTTAACTAACTGAGCCACCCAGGTGCCTCTGGACTTTTTCAATTTTAAGTGGAAAACAAAAGCACCTCACTTTGCCTTAAACCAAAGAATGGAATTAGTTAACTCACAAAACTGAAAAGCATGGCAACTGAATTTTTTTTGTGTGTGGTTGAGTCCAGTTAATGTTACAGAACTTGGTCTGTCTTCATCTTTGCTTTCCTCTCTCTTGATTCCAATCTCAGGCAGGCGCTCTCCCTGTTGTGCTATGGTATTAAGATGGCCATCAGCATCTGGCAATTATTTTATAAGCTCATCTATC